TTTCATATTCAAATTTTGAGCTTTTGTGATAATGTGCCCAGCGCCGCTGTCACGATTTTCTCTCCGCCTGCGTTTGTGTCTGTGTGTGTGTGCTGTTGTGGAGTGGATGTGACCGGGCTCTAAAAAAAAGTCACACTCTCCCGGCGTCAGAGTCAGAGTCGCCGTCACCGTCACCGTCTCCATCTACTTCTTCGTCGCATGGTCGCACGCGTTGCCATGCGTCGTGTTCGGCGTCATAAAAACGCAGCACTAGTTGATTGTTCGAGCAGTCTGTCCCAGCACTACTCGGGCTTTTCAACTGGGCTGGGAATGGGGAGGTGGTATGCACATACATACATATGTATGTATACGTATGTGTGTATATATTTTTATTGTGTCACGATTTTGCAATACATTTGACAAATTTATTTTGATTAAAGGCAATTTCTTGGAAGTGTAGCCATGAATTGCGTTTCGCTTGATTGAGTTATTTGTTCATGCACTGCCCTGCGAACTCAATCCCCGATGACAAGAGCACACAAAGTGATTTTGTTACTCCTATTTAAGATGATTGTGTACATCTTAATTGCTCGACAACTGTTTGGTTTCGCTAACGACTGTATTGTGAAGTAGTTGAACAGATGTGAGGCGGTGTATGGAATACTTGTAAGTGTTTAATGTTTCACAAACAATAAATATACTTGTAATATAATTGCTAACTTGATGCAATAATAAAAAGAACCAATAGCAAAAGATAAGCTTACCAGATGTATCCGCAAGCTACAAATGCAGGCCAATAGGAAATATCAATCGCGAAGATAAATGAAAGACATGTAAATATCAATCGCGAAGATGAATGAGAGAAATACTTTCTACCAAATGTGGATCACCTACAACTTGTACAGTTCGCGACAATTTATAAAATTAAATTAAGCCAAATACCGAGAGTTTTCTATGTTAATACACAAAATCAAGTAATTAAGACAGTTTTAATTACTCACTAAGTTATGTACGTAAGAAGCGTGGAATTTATTTCCACATTCCGAGACGTTAGTTAATGAGCTTATGCATAATGTTGTAAGCATTTACACTGACATCTTGAATGAGAGTACTGGGAAATCAAATTAGTTACCTAAGCAAACAAAAGAGTTAACAAACATCCACAAAAGTAGAAACAAAACAAAATGCTAGGGCAGAGGTACGGTTATGGAGATACGCAGACTCGTGCTCCACGCTATTCGCCAAATTAATGTAAGCCCTAGATGCGTTGCTCGCTGCAGCACAAGAAAATACTAATGAGATAGATCACTGGACGAGTTAGGATCTTCACAGATGAATTAACTGCTTACAAATGAAAATACTTTTAATTTCCAACAACAACATCATTAAAGTTTAATATTCAATCCGGTAAGCAGCCAAATTGTTAGTCGACATATCTATTCATTGTAAATCTCTTTAATTACTTATTTAACTATCGCCTATTGGAAATCGTAAAATCATCATTTTGGCAAATCATAATCAATCAATTTTCTGGATCTGGGCACCAATAAATTAATGATTTTATATGGTTTTTTAAATCCATTTTCAACCAAAGCGTCAGCAACAATCAACTTGATAGGCAATTAAATAGTGCTTTTAACGCGAGCTCATTTATCATCTCTAATGTGTCATCGTTTTTCTTGATGTACAATTGCCTTACATTTTTTGCTTAACTTGCTGTCGTTTTTACTAATAATTTCCTACAGAAAGAAATTCTATTTAAGACTTGCCAAAAAAAAATCCGACAATACTCAGAATAGCAACAAACTGATTAATGCCGAGCGATGTTTCCAGTTGGCACAACTTGTCACAGCCTCTATTAGGTCATCGCCGAGTTTTTGCGCTGAAAATTTACATACAAGTATGTATGGTTTTATTTTGTGCTGCGTTCTGGTGTACGGCCTCAGTCATCGCAAAAAACACAGAACGCTTAATTAAAAAGGCACCAGAGGCCATAAGAAGAGCGTGACATTAGGGAAAGATGATGATCAAAGAACGCGCAGCGTGAGAAAACTGAGAAAGTTGGCCATGCAGGTGGCATAAGCTGAAAACTCGCCAGCTGGAAACTTTCCTTGCGGCCAGCAAGTGGCAGAATTCTTTTTTCTTCTTTTGGCGTTTTATTTCACAAAAATTGGCAATCATTTGTAAACAATGTGCGAGGCGAGGCACTGTGGCCGGGATCGAGAGGAGTGGGGCGGTCCGGGGCGGGCGGACCAAGCCAAAGTCAAGCCACACCGAGGCATTGGCTTTTTACTTACCAAGAAATACGCCGAGCGCGTGACCCACTTTCGTGTCGTGTTTTTGGCTGCTTTTTTTGTGGGGCTCTTTTTTGTTGTTTTTTACACATGCTTTGTGCATTTATATGTACTTGTATGTGTGTGAGTCTCTCTTTCTAAACAACTTTTTAGGCAAATTAAGGTGCCAGCCACAGCTGCGAAGCCATCGACAGCAGCCGAGGCATTGAAAGTTGCAGAACGACTTCCAATTGGCAACGCCAGACCAAAACATTGAATCGGCAACAAGCCATTTAAGAACATTTACAAATTATTGAAATTTATGCATAAATTTGTATTACATACCTGACCATAACAGCAGCAACAACAACAACAGCGACAACGACAACAAGTTGTGCTTGGGTGCGAATTGCAGCCGAAAAATTTAACACTTTCAATAACACACGATCACGACAAATGTGGGTCAACAATTATTCGTGCGTTTATTTAATTTCTATTTTTTGCCAATTCTATTTTTAATGTCATTGTTTGCCAGCGCCCGTAGCTGTGCCTATTGCTTCAGAGCTAATACGGTTTCCGGGCTCACCGGTCTTCCAAAGTCATCTGAATTCATTTTCTACTTCATTGTTAGTTAAATGTTGTCGCCGGCATACCACAGCCCCTCCAATTGCATCTAGGAACGGTAATTCTACCTTACTGCGCTTGCTTTTATATACGATATTTTTATTATTATTATTATTATTATATTATTATAATTATTATAAACAGCTTAATAGGTAATTAAAATTACAGATAAGCTATTGAATAAGCTATAGCGACGAGGCCTTAAGATTAAATATACAATACTTTAATGTATTTGTTCATGCACATTTGTTTAAAATAAAATTGTAAAAAGTGATTAATTGATCAATCAAAAGTAGAAAGGTTCAGGCATACTTTAGTTCGGAAATTCGAAAACGAAACGACTAACTCCTTGGATTTGAACGCTACATTAATTCCTGAAATAACTATTTTCAACGTTCTTTAAGTAATCAAAATATTTGTTGCAACAATCAGCCTGAAATTTTCTACAAATTAGTGGACTGTTATTAATTAAAAAATACGGGTTTTTTTATTTTGTTTCTATTTATTCACATTTTCCAATTGAACTGCAACGTGTTTTGGAACTTCATATTCATTCGTAAGACAGTCCGTGTGGCATCGACGAGCTTCTTATATTCTACACCGAAATATGGCATATACATATATGATCGGAATATCGAGACGATTCGAAATGGAATCTGTTCGTCTAAAACACTATATTCAACCGGTGATTACCTGAAGCTTAAGTCAATAAAAGCCAACACGAATGTGTGTTTTGAATCATAGCATGTATTTAATTTATAACCATTGATATATTCGGAGCTAATAAATGTACATATATTCATTATTACTGGCCAAAAATACATTGTATTTCTAAAAAAAATGCAATCAAAAAATTTCTAAAATTAACAAAGCTCTAAAATAACAGTCAATTCAAACTGTTTTTAAAATAAAAACCATAACAGTGCAAACCATTAGAATAACACATAAGGAAATGAGAAAATTTATGAGCATCCTATCACTACTTTTCAAATTATTGAGTTTTTGATAATTACACCAAATAAATGTAAATACTCTGCCTAACCAGGGCTTGCTGTAACCGGTATACGCATCAGTTAAGAATATATTATATATTTGATAACTTGATCCGCATCAAGACGTCCAGATGACCGTATTATTATTCCGACTGCCATTGCGTTTGTGTAGTCTTCTAATGGGCTGAACCGTTTTAGTCTATAAGGAAGAATAAATCGGCAACACTCTTGAGAAACTTGTGGCTCCCGTAACATCAGTCGCCTTTGCGGTTATTTGCTTGTTTGTGGCACTGCATCAGGGGACAGTAAGTGTGTCTATAGCTGATGGTGCCTGACTCAGCAACTTTGTGGCAGCAACAGCGACTGGCAACTTGCAGCTGCAACACAAAACTAACTGCACTTTGTTGCCATTAGTCTCAAACGCAAAGTTGACAAACTTAACGAATGTTGCTCTAGCAGCCTCTTTTGTTGTCGGCTCAGCTGCCGCTTTTGCTTCCTCAACTTTGATAGACATTTTGTCCTTTGCTCAGTCACTTATCATCTAGTAGTACGACTTTTGTGATAGCTTGGATAATGGGAATCCAAACGTGAGAAAATGATTCCCCATCATTTGTCTAGGAATGTCGCCGTCAAAGAAAGTGTCTGCCAGTTTTTATTTTCCTCTGTCGCGGTTGCTCATACGCCTCATTGACAATAAGGCACTTTAATCTGCAGCATGGGACGATCGCTATCGCTATCGCCGTCGCCGGTATTATGCTGTAATTTGGAGCACGATTCACAGTCAATTGACAACAAAGCGACAAGATACAGCGACCACGTATGAATCGCATGAATTGTGACGTAATTGCCGCAGTCTTTTGGGAAAGTAGTTTAATGGCACAATACTCGCACTCATAAACCACACGTGTCGCTGTGTGTGTGTGTGTGTGTGTGTGTGTGTGTGTGTGTGTGTGTGTGTGTGTGTGTGTGTGACTTTCTATGTATCTGTGCGTGTTCCATTACACATATAATTGTAGTATTTGTATACCTACTCGTATAGTTACTTATTTACATCCACATTAACATGAACACTTTTAATTTACGCAAACCACTAAACCAGACACAATCTTGTCTATTTTCGTATGCATTGCAGCTGACAGACGAGGTGGTGCGCAAGAAAAGCGAATACCAAAAACATTTGGAGGGCTACAAGGCGTTGCGCACGCGCTTTGAGGAGCACTACATAAAAGGTAAGTGCAATAATAAATAATTACCATCATGCTTGTCTGTATTGAGGTTTAACCACCCCTTAAAAATGGACTTCTGCGGGGCATGAATTTAAATATTTACCGTTGCGCAATTTTCCACTTTTCCAGTTGTATGTCAATTGACCACCAAAAAGAGTACGACAGACAGTTTTGATTTGTTCCTAATTTTATAGTAGTGGTAGACTTAATACTGAAAGACTATAGTGCATCAAATGGATAGAGGGACATGATTAAGTGAATAACTCTTGCCATGCTTACCATTTATGTACAAATGCCTTTTAAAACTAGTTGCTTTCACTTAATATAAGTAATATCATCATGAAGACTAAGTGAAAGATTCCATGACTTTCCAGCACCTCATGGTCGAAGCGGTCGCAAGCTCGACGATGTACGCGACAAATATCAGAAGGCCTGCCGCAAACTGCATCTCACACATAACGAATATGTTCTCTCGATAACTGAGGCCATTGAGGTGGAGAAGGACTTTCGAACAGTGTTGTTGCCCGGCCTTCTTGAGCACCAGCAGTCTGTCCAGGAGAGCTTCATACTGCTCTGGCGCAACATTTTGCAGGAAGCAGCGCAATATGGCGACTTAACAGCCGACAAGTATAAGGAGATACAGAAGCGTATCGACACTGTGATAGGCAACATTAACCCGACCGAGGAGTACGGAGAGTTTACCGAAAAACACAAGTAAGCTTTAATCTAACATACCAATCAAATTCCCCCCCTAATTCATGTGCACTATCTAATGTACTCGTATGTGCAGAACCTCGCCCACTACTCCCCTGCTCTTTCAATTCGATGAGACGCTTATTGAGGACATACCCGGAAAACTGCAGTCCAGCACTTTGACAGTGGACAATCTGACGGTGGACTGGCTACGCAATCGTCTGCTCGAACTGGAATCCGCAGTCAAAGAAGTTCAGGACAAGCAGCTAAAGATGATCGAGCATGTGAATGGCGGCTCCCCCGTGGCCAATGGCAGCATCATATCGAATGGCAGCAACACGTCCAACGGCATTCAGTCCAACAAGGATAGTCAGAAGTAAATGATAGTTTGGCAGCACTATATCCCGGAAGAATTTATAGAATATTATGTATTTTATTCACAGTCGTCAATCCAAGGACCTCAATGCTTTGCGCTGCCAGGAGAAGCAGAAACAAAAACTGGTGGATATGATCAAGTATGCCCTTAACGAAGTGGGCTGTGAGGAGTTGCCTTCCGGTTGTGATGACCATCTAACGATGGAGCAGAACTTTATCGACCGTGGCTACAATAATGAGCAACAGGTGCGTATGAAGGTCCAACGCTGGTATCTGGGGTGGTGTTGAGTACTTATATAGACTTAAGCAGTAGTGGTACTTGGATTACTAATCAGTTGCCACACAAACAAATCTCTTCTCCTACTATTCCAAATTTCTCACGCTTCACCATCTTTAATCCCCATCAAATCCATTTAAAACGTTCGCTGCACTCTAGCGCTCCAATTCGACAAGTTCTCCGGGCGTAAGTATCGTGAACGAACTAATGCGACGTGGCGGCGTCCTGACCTTACTCCGAGGTCGTCATTTTAAGCGTAAATCCACGCCACAGCCCACCACGCCCATGGCCAGGGCACGTCTGGGTCGTTTTAACAAGATGCAGCCTCGCTCCCAGAGCCTCGGATCGCTGTCGGTAATTACTGCGCATAGTCCTGCACGTTACGATTACGAGCCCATTACTAACCCTTTGCGCCTGGCGGCAAGCGTTCACTACCTCGGTGAGGAGATAATACTAAGGAATGCGTCGCCGCCAGCGCTACCTCGGCTTAGACGCACGCAGTGTTCCATGTTGTGTTTGAGCGAGGAAGATCCGTTGCCCAATCTTCCCAATCTGCCCGCTTTGACCGAGTTACAGTTACCCCAGTTAGATGCCGACGCTTCTTTGAGCGCCCCTGCTACTAACACTAACAACAACCACATCTATGCCGACCTCGAGCTTAGCCGCAAGTGCAATGACACGGACAGCATTGCCAGCGGGGAGCTGGCGGGGAAGCGACAGCAAATCGAGATCGAGATTAATCGCGTGGACAGCATGCGAGTGGCACCAGCTGTGGAGGCTGTGCCTTCGCCGCCGCAGAACTCCATCGATGCGCATTTGGATCGTATTGATGAGCTAAACCGTGCGTTGGACGATCGTTTGAAACGTACTCTGAAATCCTCTGTGCCCGTTGATGTGAATGCTATAGAATGTGCCGAGGAAGCGGCGTGGGTGCAAACTCGATGCGTCCATGAGGATGTTGAAAGTCAGGCAAAGCGCAGCTCGAGTTCCAGCTCCGAATGCCGCTCATCGCAGCTAAGTGGCAGGGAGGACCTGCAAAAGCTCAGTAGTTCTCAGGCCAAGAAACGTTCATTGTCCTTTACCCAAAAGTCGATCAGCAATATATTCACGAACATCAAGGAGTTTTCGAAAAGTCCCTTGGCACGCATGCACAACCGAAGTGCCAGCATTGCGCTCAGTGAGGAGCAGGAAGGAACAGAGACGAACCCCCCCAAGGAAGCCGGCTACTCCAGTCAACATTCCAGCAGCAGCGACACTCAAAAGAGCATCAACAACAGCAACATCAATCACGGAGCTGCTGCCAAGTCCACCATTATCACCAGCACCATTACAACAACGATTACCACAACGACGACCGCTTCACCGCCATCGCCGGCTCCTGCCTTCTCGCAGCCATCCAAAGAAACGTCAAGACTGAAATTTAAAGTGCCAAAAATACAAAAGAAATCGAAGGCCATACGCAACACATTCCGTTCCAAGCTGCTCAATTTCCAGCTGAAGCGCGCCAAGCCCTGCAAGACGTGCACCAAGCGCAGGCGCATACATCCTAGCAAGAGCGTATTCGATTTCGCCAAGGAGTTCGATGTGAGTGACAGTCCCGAGGAGTTTTGCACTTGTCCACCGCCGCCAAAGACAAAACTTATCAACAGCTCGACAAATACAGAGCGACCCGTTCATTCGCATATGAACGGCATGGACCAGAACGATGTTGGGGAGGATGGTGAGGAACAGGACCGCAGCAGTGACGATCTGCTGAGCATAAAGGAGCACTGCTATTGCGTGCCCAGCTTAGCGGCGAGTGTGAGTAGAGCAGAGCACTGCACAGCACTCCACTCCACTCGTGAATGCAACCACACTCTGCATTATCCTGAAAGAATGCACCGCGTAGCAGCCACACGCTCCGCTTACACTGCTTGTGAAAAATCTATGCTCGTAGCTGATTACTGCATGCATTTGTTTACTCAGTCTCCACCATTCCGAATCATTTTACATTTGTCAGATAATCGCCCATTTAACTAACTTTCTTACTAGATGTTGTATTCTTAATCTGATATTACACTAATTTTGTGTCACATTCATTTATCTTCAACGTATTTTGTTTTATTCCTTCAGATGTCATTCTTCACTTTGTAGTAGTGCTTAAGAAATGGCTTGAATCACAATGGGTTCTGTGCTTCGTATACTTTATACTTTTATAGAGTTTTTAATGTAAAATAAAAGATATATTTCGAGTATAGTGAACAGTTGAACGGTGATCCACCTAAGAAAAACTTATACACACAAGTATTTGAGAGTTTATTAAATGGCTTCTACGCTCCCGGGAGTTTTCAATCCCCGATTCTTTCTCAACATTTTGGTGGAAAAAAACATTGCCTACTAAATGAAGATTGATCGTTCAATTTAATCATTTAAACTCACAACAACATGTTTCAGCCGATCTTCAAGATCTTGCACTGTCCCAATGGAGAGCGATTGTTTATGACATTTATGGAATGTTTTGTATCGTAGGGATTTTTACCAGAAATTGGACATCAATTGCCTCAAAGAATTTCTGATATTGGAAGAACGAATCATTCAAAAATATTCATTAGTAAGATCGTTTTCATAACTACATGTTAAGAGACAGCATCGATGTTTTCTGTCACACCAAGAGATTTTGGAGCCCATTTTATCTGTTCCCTGGTTTATCAAACCAGCGATAAGGTACTGTCCTTTTAAAAGGTGGCATATAGCCGAGATCACTTTAAAGGTAGTGGTATTAGGCTTTGGATTTGCCCGTTCAAACTGTTTGATTCGGCTGTAGAAGTGAACATTTGGTATTGAAATCTTTTTGGATACAAGTATGCATTGGCATGCATAGTCAACGCGGCCGTCGAAAGAAAAGCTCCGAAGTCGTATGTCCAAAAATAAAACACAGGGCGCACAGCACATTTCAATTGCTGTTCTCAAAAGTTTATAAAGCTAAATTTACTTTTGAGACGATCACGAAAATTCGCAGCATGCGTAAAGAGCGTCAAGTTCAAGTGAGAAGTCCTATCGGACAGAGAGAGTAGGCATACGAGCATATACTATAGTAGTCGGCCAGTGTTATTCAGTTCTCTTTGATCTCGCGGGCTGCACACACGGCAAGCAGCTCTTGCTCAATTCTCGATCTAAAGATATGTTTGGCATTTGTTTGGCCAGCGATTAGTTGGAAATAATTCGTGTGCGTCGCCAATATTGCGCAAGTACCATGAGCACTTCCGGCCAGAGTAGCAGCAGCTTCAGCGGCATTGGTGGCCACGATTGCGGCATATTCGAGACAATTGTGTTTGCCGGTCGCCCCGTGCCCCCGGCACGCAAGAAGCGGCCTAAATCCAAAATATTTGTGAGTTCACCTTGACCTGGCTGCCTCATTTGTGCAATTCATTTAAATAATATTGATGTAGTAATTGAGTGTTATTTTTACTTTTATGCGCCATTTCTTTTTATTTAGTATTTTTATCTACTGACTATATATTTGGAAGCTGTTTTTCAATTAAGTTGCCTGCAGTCTGCCTGTTGTTGAATCTCGCCCGACCATTGCACCCACGCGTTTCCGCTACTCTGGAAAATGTCGTGCTAAATGTGTATATACTATAGTAGTATAAGTTGCCTATACTTGAGTTGGATATGCTTAAACAACAACTGCATGATCTATGACTAATCCGTAGAATAGATGTGTGTGGTCAACAGCGATCTGGTCTAATTATTCTCATCTTGTCGATAATTTGCAGCTCTCGCTCTCCACTAATCGACCACTGTATGAAGAGGAATGGTTCCATGGCGTCCTTCCGCGGGAGGAGGTTGTGCGCCTCCTGAATAACGATGGAGATTTCCTGGTGCGGGAAACCATTCGAAATGAGGAAAGCCAAATTGTGCTGAGCGTGTGTTGGAATGGACACAAACACTTCATTGTCCAGACCACGGGCGATGGACATTTCCGCTTTGAAGGTCCGCCTTTCCCTAGCATACAGGAACTGATCATGCATCAATATCACTCCGAACTGCCAGTCACGGTCAAATCAGGTGCCATCTTGCGTCGACCCGTCTGCCGCGAACGCTGGGAACTGAGCAATGATGATGTCGTACTACTGGAGAAAATTGGCAGAGTAATAAGGAAGATTCCTTTGAAATATACATATTTTTACTTATTGGCATTTCATTCTCCTCCATTTATTTAGGGAAACTTTGGAGACGTTTATAAGGCAAAACTCAAATCGACCAAGCAGGATGTAGCCGTAAAGACTTGCCGCATGACCCTGCCAGATGAACAGAAACGCAAGTTTCTACAAGAGGGTCGCATACTTAAGCAGTACGACCATCCAAATATAGTGAAACTTATTGGCATTTGTGTACAGAAACAGCCCATTATGATTGTCATGGAGCTCGTACCGGGTAAGGTTCCAACAAATAACAAGTAGAAAAGCTAAAGTCGGGTATCCCGACTTTGAAATACTCTGTACATACTCTGTAAATGTATATATGGCTATAACTATATAACCCTTTAAATCGGCCTATCATTATGAAACTTGGCATTTGGACTTATAATCACTAAGTGGAGGTATTTGCCAAGTTTGAGTTCGAAATTCCAAGAATTACGGGAGTTACGATTTGCGGAGAGGGGTGAGGGAGGGAAATTCCAAAATATACATTTTTTGCGTATTCATATAAGGCATCTTGGACTAAAAATAGGTCTTATAGTCTCCGAGATATAGGAGATTATACCAATAGAAAAGGGGAGGAAAATCAAAAAAATTAAACAAACTTGCATAGCGTACACACATAAGCCATCTTTGTGCAAAAGTTGGTGTCTCTAGCTCTTATAGTCTCTGGGATCCAGGTGTTCATACAGACGGACAGACGGACAGACAGACAGACAGGGGTAGATCGACTCGTCCTGTCATGCTGATCAAGAATATATAGTATATACTTTGTGAGGTCTGGCACACTTCCTTCTGCCTGTACATTTCATGTACAGAGTATAAAAAGAAATAGTTCCAAAGTACAGATTCAATATGGATTAGATTAGACCGATTAAATAATAGTGATGGTTGGTTCTAAGCAAGTCGATAAAGAATTAAATATCGAACTGCACCCAGGAGAAATGCATGCTCTTCAGGACAGATCGTATCTATGAAAATATGTAAAAGCACATACATACATATATATCCATAGAGGGCTAGATTTTAGCTTTTTGACTTTCGTTGAATTCTGTTTGTAACCGCAGCTATGCGAGCTCCATTTCCACAAAATGAGGGAGTCCTCTGATTATAATTCTGGCTATTCGTAAGTCTGTCTGATACATCCTTTGACAAGACATCTTTCTAGGGGAGCGTAGAATCTATTTCGTTATTTGTAGGACCCTGCATACCAAGAGCAAGTGACCATCAGCCACCTTTGCTTTCCATTGGAACTAATAAATTTAGAATGCTTTTATTACTAGTAGGACCAAGTAACTATTTCATTTGATCATCTTTCTTTCTTAACAGGAGGCTCGTTACTTAACTACTTGCGCAAAAATTCAAATGGACTCTCAACCCGCCAACAGATGGGCATGTGTCGGGATGCAGCAGCAGGTAATTATTGGTTCGAATATCATCTTAAATATATCTAACAATTATCACTCTTCCACTTGTGCAGGCATGCGGTATTTGGAGTCGAAAAATTGCATACATCGCGATCTAGCGGCGAGAAACTGTCTGGTAGACTTTGAGAACAGTGTAAAGATCTCCGACTTTGGGATGTCCAGGGAGGAGGAAGAGTATATAGGTGCGTACAACTGTTTCAATAAAAGACTTGGCTAATTTTCGTGCATCCAAACAGTCTCCGATGGTATGAAGCAAATACCAGTCAAATGGACCGCACCCGAGGCCTTGAACTTTGGCAAGTATACGTCACTGTGCGATGTTTGGTCCTATGGCATACTCATGTGGGAGATATTCTCGAAGGGAGACACTCCCTATTCGGGCATGAGTAATTCGAGAGCCAGGGAGCGCATCGATACAGGTATGATATAGAGAAGGCAAGACAAGTGGAATTACTGGCATGTACTACCTATATACATATATTTGCAGGCTATCGCATGCCCATGCCGGAGAACACGCCGCCCGAAATGTATCGTCTGATGGTAAAGTGCTGGGCGGCCGATGCCGATTCCCGTCCACATTTTGATGAAATCTGTAATGTTGTTGATGCGCTCATCCTGCGCCTGGACAGCCTGAGCAGCGTGAACAGCCACTGAGCGTGATTGCCAGCAACATGCGTCCAGTCTAACTATTTAGCCACATACTCAATTAGTGTAAGGAGCGCTTTTAAAGTACGCCACATCTATGTCGTTTAGAATTAGACAACGAATCGCCTGTATTTATGAGATAAACACGTACTATATTTTTAGTAATGCTAGAGTTCTATCTACGAAGAAAGATATTTATACATACAAGTAAACATAGTACATATATTTTGTAGCCATGTAAATTGTACATTTTCTATATACATACATACATGTAAGATGTGCTTGTGTGCGTGCGGTTTTTATGCAATGATCCTTAATGTGCCAAAAAGAAATACAACAACAAAATAAATAAAGAAACCCGTAGACGGCGAGCTGAGATGCATCGCGGATGCTTTTGGAAACTTCGTGTGAGTGCATGTGAAACAAATGACTTACCTTTATTGAATTTATTATTTTAGTTGCCTACACTTGTGCAGGTGTATTTAGTTTAGAGTTTTGTAAAATACGACGCCTTACGTTGGTCAATTTGTCTTATTGTCAATATTGCTCGGAATAGAACCCACTTTGTATATTTATTTAAAGTTATTTACATTTCTAATAAATACGCTTACATTTAAGTTCTACACTTTAAGTTTCGCTGCGCTGCTGAAGGTATATAACAGAAAATAAAAAATAAATAATATATGTATATGTTTAACAATCTGCCGACGCTTTCATTTCTGACTCAAAGCCAACGGGACATCGGAGAACTTGACCTTGGCGTAGTTCTTCTTCAACTCGTTCTTCAGCTGCAGACTGTGCGACCAGTCCACGGTCTCGCAAATAACTTTCACTTCAACCGTATATATATCATTGAGCCAGGCTCGTTCATGCATAATGTCCTTGATGGACACGCCCATGCGCGTCAGCAACTTACACAGATCGTGGATGCCACCCGGCCGATCGATGACCTCCACATTGAATTTAACGAGGCGTCCCACGGCGGCCAAGCCGCGTTCCAGACAACGACCAAAGACAGTAGTGTCGATGTTGCCTCCACAAAGCAACACAACCACCCTAACAGAGAAAGAAAGACAACCACAATGAGAATTACCAGATCGAAAATGACGAATTAGGACTACACCTACTTCTTTCCCTTCAGGTCATCCAGTTGTCCAGCCAGTATGGCAGCCAAGCCCGCACCTCCCGCCCCCTCCACAACGCACTTTTCCTCCTCGACCAGCCGCAAGATGGCCACGGCAATCCACTCCTCCCGAACCACCACCATACGATCGATCAACGGCACCGCCGTGGCATATGCATTGTAGCCAACCTTTGGCACAGCTAGGCCATCGGCCAGCGTGTTTTTGATGGGCGTGTGAATTGGACCTTTGTTCTCCATAGCTCGCGTAAAACTGGCGCACTTCTCGGACTCTACACCCTGTGCGGAAGAAGATTTTTGTAGTAATTTAATATGCACGATGATTTCCTCAAAGCAACTAAATATGTCTGCATAGGCACTTTTTACCAAGAAAGGAATGCTAGAGTCAAGCGGGCTCAACTCTTTAATATCCTGCACTCACTCCCAAAAATAAGAAAACAATTTGAAATTATAACAAGAGAGAACGCTACAGTCGAGCAAGCCCGACAGTGTAATACCCTGTACCCAGGTAAACTTCCGTCACTGAGTTATATGCGCCCATAGCAGCACCAAAAAGAGGAAGAAGAAGAGCGAACTTGTTGCTGCAGTTTGGGGGGTTGTACTGGCGAGAATTTGTTTTGCTAATAACTTTATTTAGAATTGACCGAATTGAATAAAATTGAACAACAGTAGACAATTATATATAAATTATGTGTGCAAAGTTTGGTTTAGGTAGCATTTGAAATGTGGACGCTATTGACGAAATTTTGTAGCGGGGGAAGGGGGGGAAAATTAAAAAAAATAAAATAAACTCGTCCTTACTCGGACCTAGGAGAATCTGGATGCCAACTTTGGTTATTCTAGCTTTTATAGTTTCTGAGATCCTCGCGTTCATCCAGACGGACAGACGGACAGACGGACGGACAGACGGACGGACATGTCTAGATCGATTTCTCTCGTCATGCTTATCAAGAATATATATACTTTATGGGGTCGGAGATGCTTCCTTCTGTATGTTACATACTTTGCACAAACCTAATATACCCTTTTTACCCTACGGGTACAGGGTATAAAAACTAGAAAATTAAATTTAAAAAATTAAATTAATGAAATAAAAAATATTCAATACATATGTACATAAGTGGAGACATATGTTGAAGTACAGAATTAAGTCAACAGCAGCTGCGGGCAGAGCTTAGGCAGAGATTGCATTTGTGCCTTACATATATTCACAAACTGGATGTTACTACCAAATTTGAGTTAAAAATTCCAAGAATTAGGTGAGTTATAGATAATCGCAAATAGCGGGTGGTGTATTGCGTGTATTGTCATACAGACAGACGGACAGGCAGACAGACCGACGGACATGGCTATATCGACTCATCTTGTCACCCTGATCAAGATTATATATACTTTGTGGGGTCTGCCACGCCTCCTTCTGTATGTTGCATACACTCGCACAAAACTAATATACCCTTTTACCCCTTGAGTACAGGGTATAAAAATGCAAACAATATTCCAATTTACCGATATAGGGGCAAATATATAAAGAATTTACCAAAACTATTATTACAGTATGTTCTCATTTGTCTCCCACCTAGAGACAGCAATACCCTGTCTTACAATAGAGTCGAATGTCTATTTTGGGAATCTTGAACCAATCTGAACCAAAATATTATTTAGGTTAATGCTATTTCTTCTATTGAAGAGATTTATTTTAGCGTTATGTCATAGGCAAGTATTATCAAGGATGCGCTATAACATTTGACTAAGAGGACTATATGCTATGCTATTCATCTTTGAATAAGTTATTTCTTCTTTATTCAACTTCTGAAAATCGTGATTTGTGGTAAGCAATATTTGCTCATCCGACAAAATACATAAAATCCCATTAAAATGTACAATTCTCGAAAAAACAAGCCGCAATAAGAAATTGCAATAAATTGTTTTCATTCTGAAGGACTACTTACAATGATCTTTGTTCGTGGGGACAGAGCCTTTACGGCAGTAGCTATGCCAGCTATGAGACCTCCACCGCCTACAGGTACGACTACAGCATCAGGATCTGGAACCTGCTCCAATATTTCTAAGCCAATGGTGCCCTGGCCAGCCATGATGTGCGGATGATCGTAGCCATTAATATAGAGCAGCTTCTCTTCCTGGGACATTCGCATAGCCAGAGCCTTCGCTTCGGCCATGTCCTTGCCCTCAACGATGACTCGCGCCTTGTAATTCCGACACTTCTGAACCTTCATAATCGGTGCCGCCTTGGGCATAATGACAGTCACAGGTATATTCAACTTCCAGCCGTGATAGCACAGGGCCTGTGCGTGGTTTCCCAGAGAGGCGCTTATCACGCCCTGCCGTTTCTGCTCCTCGGTTAGCGACAGAAGCGCGTAGCGCGCTCCCCTTTCTTTGAAGCTTTAACGAAAGGCAAGGAAAAGCTGATTAGTTGCGGCGTCATTTCTCCATTGGCTATGAACCAAACTTTGTTGGGCCACTTATCAGTAGAATTTACAGCTGTGTTGCCAATTTTTTCTATACAGCTTAATATGCGATTTGGACAAGTTTTATATCTACGGACTGTGGCAATAAATTGGCGTTGTCCAACAATAGCCTAGTATCTTGGCTATTGGCTATAACCTAAAAACAAGTAGAGCAGCAGAAAATGCAAACAACTGGCATCGGAAATTTTTCTTCGAGTATTTTAACAGCAGACGCTTATCGGCAGACGTTAAGTGTCTAGCGTGAATTGTAAGTACTATATGAGAATATATATAAGAGTTACATACATATGTCAGATCTATAATGTATTTGAAAAGATGAAGATCCCGATTTGCTTAAGTGTACTTTAGACCTAAGCTGCTTATCAAGTTCATAGACGATTCATTAGAGGGAAATGCATTCAAAATAAATGCCCTAATTTCGAATAGGAATACGAATACGAGTACATTGAAAGGCCCTTGAGAACACCTTCCAAGTTATTGGAGGAATGTCTCCCCCTATCGTTGCTTGGGTCACTCACCTTCCTGTGTATTGCAGAAAATCTTTTTTCAAATACAAATCCATTCCATAGCTTTCCGATGAAGTGGATTTCTACAAATGTGTACATTCTAGCATCATCGTTCGTTTTTATCACTCTGGATGGATAACTTACAGGACATGGCGTGCGTTCCACGCCGCCCTTGATCAGAAAGGCAGCCGATGTAACATCATGGAAAGATATTTTAATCGGCTTTTTCGGATCACAAAACGGGTCCACAATTTCCTCTGTCACGTTTGCTGCTTCGAGAGTTTCCAGCGTATCTTTGCCATTAGTTTCCAGTGCCGGAGCTGAAGATGCCACACCATTCGTTTTTCCGTTGACCTGACCATTTGAAGGCCCTAACTTGGCAGTCTGCGACATTTTTTCTACCCTTCTCTTTTGGAACTGATGCCGACAAATGCGCGTTTTCTACTGATCAATAGACTAAAAGGGAGCTTGCTATATGTACCCTCTACTTACCTAATCGAATTCACATATGTACATATAATCGCAGGCGAACGACGCAGCGACGTCCATAAAAACGGCACCTTTGGTAGCGATTACGAGCGGCTCGTTTATGAGGCAACCCAACTGATAAGCGCAGCTTAGAAACCGAAGCAGCGATAAGCGCATTGTTTTCTTTTTTGGCAACATCCAAAACAAACCTTAAACGAGCTAAGAAGTTATCATCTTCTGCACCGAAGCTAAATACCCTCGACTATGTTTTCAACTCTACAAAATATATACACTACTATGTACTTATATCTGAGCAGTTATTTTCATCCGAATAGAATAACAGAACATGGTATCCAAGTACGAAAACAGACAAGTGTTTAAGCATTTTCAATGTAAATTTTTAATATGGATTGGGGGTATTTAGGTTAGGCCTGCTAGACTAGCATATTCGGAGGGGAATCTACCCCCTAGATCTGGGGTTAAGACTCTGCTTCCACCTTCCGGACCTCTGCAGTGTCTACAGCGTAAGCTTCCGCTATACAGGAGGTCACGAGACACCAATCTTTATGCGCCAGATTCTAATTTGGATAACTCCAAGATTACCACCGGAAAGTTAATAACTTGTGTGGTCGAGCTAGCTCTGTCCCTCTACGACAACCATCTCTCCATTTACTCAAAAGTACCGGGTGGTTTAAGGCGGACCCGTAATCAAAAGAGATTTTATGGCATTGCGTGGGGTCTTTTAGTCCTAAGTGGGTGGGTGATCAACATCGGCCCAGTAATCACAACCAAACCTAATCTGAGCCCGATTCGAAGCTTCTTTTTCTAAGAAATAATTGTTCTCCTTCATCCAAATGAATATTTGTATATTTATTTATATATTCATCTCTTTATGCATAGTTTTAATTCCCATTTTCTTGGGCAATCCGTGATTTTCGATAATACTCTATATTTTGTAAACTACGGAGGCCTTGTTGCTGACTGTTTACTTTACTTGGTTTGTCGCAAAATTTCTCAGCACCAACTGCATGAAATAACGTAGAAAATTGTGATAAGCATCTTGATTAAATTTAAATGTATTGTATGTAATTGGACGGTGTTGTTTGGATTCATTAACAATAAAAAATTAAGTATCGTGAATGGTTTGAGGTTTTTGAGAAGTTTCAAGGTCAAAAATTTGTAACTTTCTAAGGTACTAAAATATGATATTGTGTAAATATGCAAATTAATTATAATCAATTACTTTAACAAATATTCTTACTTTTTTGAATGCGAAATGTAATATAAAATCTTTCAGTTTTATCGTATAAGATGTAGTGTCACCCAAATGTTACATACAGGCTTTCCCCAATGCGGAAGTTGAAGAATTTATGTTTTTCTTGGGGCACCTCTTCCGTTTCATAATGCTTATTAAATGCGAGAGAAGAGTAGTGCCTCGAGTCATGCTGGTACTCGTATGTACCTCTAAGATTAGGTCTACCATTCACCATTATAGGTGTTAGAAAAGTATACAAGACAACCAAAATACCCTTGTATTTTTCATTAAAGAGTATACAAATATGTCCACAAAATACGGAATACATTTTAAGACGAAAAAAAAAAAACATAAATAATTAATTTCTTTATATTTGCGTGCACTATCTGCGTACAAGCCCATAAAATACATTCGGGAGTCTGAATACAAAGTTAATTTATATATTGCTGCTGTCAAAATCGGACATGAAAATACGTAGCAAATTTTTTCTACCAAATGATGCTAAAAATACGTAGTATGAATAACATGAACTGATAATAAAGAAATTGATTACTGATATGAAACTTATGGTAAACAATAACAAACAGGTATCATTAAACTGATCAGTACTTACTCATATATACATATATATGAAAAGCAACACGGAGCTGTCAAAAATGGTACTGGCAATCATTTTATAGCGCTTCAATATAGTAGTAAAAGGGTATGCGAGATTGTACAAGGTGTGACAGATCGCATAATATATTTATGTATTGTTTTGGAAACCTTTCCCAATATCAATTTGACATGCAAAATACTGGAGATCGACTGCGTTTTGAAGAAAGCCCCCAAAAACACGCATTTGAGGACACACCCAATTATTTTATTTTAAATATGAATACAAAAACAACGGAGCTTATCTAATCATTCGACAAAAACAACAAGCTGAAATTGATAAGAGATACTGGCCAGTAGTAGTAGTAGGCCATATTTAATTTCGTATGTTCAAAGGTCTCGAAGCACGCGACCGAAAGAGACGCCTAGGGGTCGAACGCCAGCCAGTTGGCTGGATTGGTGACTGTCATCTGCTCGACTTGCTCCACGGTCGCTCCACGGGCAAACATTCGCGGTAGAATGTTCATGTATAGGTGATGATAGCCATGGCCGCCATAGGAGGTCTATACAGATCCAATGAGATCCAGTTTTAATGCGTTTTAAAGAGTAGAATAGATAGACCTACCAGACGATGTTTCGTGTGTATATCGTGTGACATCAGCAGCCTATCCACTAGGCCCTCTTCAATTAGCTTGAGAAGATTATCAATCCGTTGGCCATCCGAAATCATGTCCACCGTTGGATTCAACTGATAGTACGAGCATTCGGTGCCAAAAAGATCGTATTGCAGATAGCAGCCTAGCTTGGCGAACTCCAAAAGCTGATCTATATCGAAGATGGTGCCTGCAATGAAGCAGCATTATAATGGGACCATAAACATTTCAAAAAATATCACGTACGATCCAAATGCGACATCACTAACTTATTGGCACGCCCTCCAGCTTCCAGGTACAGACGCGTGATTTCGAATGGCGCCTCAGGTGAACGGTCCGGGTGAAAGGAAACACCACAGCCCAGAACCTCTTGTATTTCGCCAGCGGCTCGAATAGCCCGTTTTTCGAAATCTGTGGGTAGTTTGTAGTTAATACTAAGTATTGATTGATTTAATCGAAATTAAAATATAACATTTGGCAGCTATATATAAATAACTCCCTCAACCATACTTACGACTTATGTGACTATAGAATGGTATGGAATGCAAAATGCTTTATTCTTTTTAGATTGACACGAAGCTAATATACACTACTCTAACCCTCCTTGAATTTCGATAAACTGGAGAATTTTAACATTTTGTTTTAATTTTTAGAAAAGAAATATACATTTCAGAATCTATTTCACTAATAATACCAGTATTAGCACAAAAACCCGTCTAACCAGAGTTGAAGAGCAGTTTTGTGTTTAATGAACACCAATGTGGTGCAATCAAGAGGCCCAATCAACAACCTCAAATCCAGACAGATAGAAAGCAGCTAAGCTCAGTTAGATGAAACAATATATTAGCCATGTCAGAGAATTGGGACAATTCGAGTAATGGCAATGCAAACAAACTAGAAGAGCAAAAAATAGACGCACATGATTTTACACAATTTGCTAAGAACACGAATCAACGTGTCCCATCCCCGCCACTATGAAATGAATTGTCAAATTGAAAACTGCTATAACCGGACTCTGGCCAAGTGACACTAATAGTTCCACTGCCAGAAAGTTATTGAATTAATCCTCAATGAATGGATAAAAACAATAACTAAAAAGGACAATTTTGATTCATTTTCGAAATCGGACATAGTCCCAGCTACAGCGATATGGAAATGTTGTTTATCAACGAAAATGATAGGAAAACAAAACTCCAAGATCATCTCTCAATCATCATCATCTCGAAATTTTTAGTACAGAACCACTCTTCATAAAACTGTACAAGCTTTGGCTAAAACACATAAATTAGGAGATAATATTTCAATCGAGCAAGACAAAAGAAAAACGTTTTACCCATCGGGGGATCCTTTGAGATATGTTCAATTGAGCCAGGCTGTCATACCGTTAATACTCGTATATTTTAATAATATTCAAGTACTATTAATAAAACAAAAATGTAATACGAGTATGTTATACCAACGTTTGAACACCTATCTATGCAAGTACGTTACGAATCACAAACATTTTCATCAGGCTCGTGTCTATGCTTTTGTGTACAGTACAGCATCAACATTAACTTGTCCTGCTTAGGGCTTAGAAGAATATGTATACCAAGTTTGGTAAAAATAAATCATATACTTTCAGAGCTCCTACAAATGGATTTATGCTCATGGCTATATGGACTCATCACGATGAAGTGATTAAGATTAATCACTGAGTCTGCCAAGTCTGCTTATGTTAATAGGTTTTAAAAACCTTCGGGAAGAGGGTATAAAATAAAATTCCATTTAGTAGATAGAATTTTTGCTGTAAAAACTCACCATGAACAGGATACACGCTTGCTACTTCGCCTATGAAGCCACACTTTACCATGCCATGTCCTTCGACTTCTATGCCAGTTACAATGTCCTTGCTGTACAAATCAGTCAACTGTTCCACTGTCAGCTGCGAGTGGTGAGCATCCTGCATGGCGTGAATGTAATGACCTGTCCCTGCAATGAAATGCACGCCAGTGCTCTGAGCCAACTCCACTATAAAGCCCAGATTGCGTTTCAGGCCGTAGCTGCTGTTCTCGACAATACTGCCACCACCATATTGCTTATAAAGCAGCACATCCTTCTTAGCCGCCTCTAGAGCTTCCTCATCGTAGAAACGCACATTCTCCTTGCTCGAGTAAGGATACATACGTACAAAGCCCAGTGTGGCCATACTTATCTTCTTGGTCAACTGGGCTCGAAAGTCTTCTGGTGGTGGTCGGTAGAAGTATTCAAAATCGAGCGCCACATGCTCGTGGGTTAGGGTTCGACCCAACAAATTTGGTGTTATGTTACCTAGTACTGTAAATCAGAGACATCAAAATAGCACCCATTTATAGACATATGATATATACAAGTATAGATATAGAATATGAATACATATTTATGTTTGAAACATAAAAGGATACCCACAAAAAAAAGAAGTTAATTAAAAGAATGTAATTAATTTAATCAATTCACGAAATTAAATATAAAATATTCCATACATGCATACATACATACATTTACATTTACATCAGAATCGTGTCTATTTGTGTTTGTACATTGTACTTGTACATACATATGTATGTATGCATTACATAACTATGTCAAAGCAGCAACAAATACAGCTGCGGACAGAGCTTGGGCTTGGTTATATGGCTATAACTTTCTTTCTAATCAACCTATCATAATACAACTTGGGATACGGATATATACAAGTAATCACTAACTGGATGTAACTACCGTCCGTACGAACGCAAGGATCTCAGAAAGTAAAAGAGCTGGAACAACCAAACTTGGTACCCAGATTCCCCTAAGACCAAGAAAGTACGAGTTTGGGTTTTTTCCTCTGCACACAATTAATATAAGTAATTAATTAAATTTTTTTAATTAATTTTTTTTCTTTTATGTGGAGAGTACAGGGTATTTTACTGTCGGGCTTGCTCGACTGTAGCGTTCTATCTTGTTTTTTAATCAAAAATATAGTCCGCCTCAATCTTATCCAGTTTTAGTTATTTATGACTAGATAAAAAATATTTTTTTTAAAATATAGTATGTATGTATCTATGGAGTTGGGCCCAAGAATAAAAAGGAATGCAAAATTGTGGGCGAAAATGATACTATAATATGTTTTAAAAGTTGAAAAGAACTTTTTCTTTCTATGAAACTCGAGTCTCGATTGATACATGATCAACAACATTCCCTAGTTGTCATTTGAAGTACAACTGCAGGAGGAGTAGAGTTTGCACATTTTTTCACACATAATATTTTTTGTACACGGAAGATTGGTTCCAGAAAAAACCATGTAGAAAACCCGTGTAAAAAAGACATTATTCATATGCAAAAATAGGTACCCAATCACCTTCTGTCTAAAATATTGTTAAATCACATACATATGTACATATATAATGTGCATAACGACCCATATAAGACTGGTTTCTAGATGTTTGTCAGCTGTGTGTGCTTTTATTTATTCATTTTGTTTTATTTTCAATCGTGCTAAATGGAATAAATTCGTAACAATATATACAAATTTAAATTTTCAATCCGTGTAAAAACAGAATGGGGTGTACTATGTACCATTCTTCTTTACGGGTGTTAAAAACGTACACATGAAAAGCTGAATAAGATTTAGTGAAGGGTATAGAAATGGGATTATATCTCCCATTTCCTTAGACCTATCGAGAGGGGCGTTTTCCAAGGGGCCCACAAATTATTCTACTACCAATAGAGTATGAGTCCGTTGTCGTGTGTCCATTACAGGGTACACAACGACAGCTCTACCGCACAAGCAGATATTTGGCTTCAGTTTCATAGCCTTATCGAGAAAAGTTGCCCTTATCTTGCTTTATATGTACGAGTAGAGTGTGAACTTAATTGCTTAAATTGGACACTAAAGCATTACTTATTAACTGGGCTAGATAAGCGGAGTTCGTCTTTTTAATCAGATAATCTTTTTGATATACACTCTGTCGGTAATAACTCAGATTACTCACCGGTTTGCACAGTTGACATGTTGACTGATGTTTGGTTTGGATGTTGTACTCGATTCTGACTGCTCCGTATATTAATTTGAATTTATCTTTTCGTTCTTTTAGAATCACTTCTACAAAAACCGTGTGTGCGCGCTCTTCAGCTCGTAGCTTTCGCCTCAACGATCGCTTGTCAACTGAAAGGCCTATCTGTAGTCACATCGTTGTGGTGGTTCTGTGGCGCAGTGGAATTTTTACCAACCACCACCATCTTTGTTCTTTGTTCTAGCGCAGCACACATGGAAGTGCTTTGCTTTTCTTCAAAAATAATTAACGCTGATGCATACTGCAGAAAAGCTACATTCCATTAGCAACTGTTAGCAAATGATCATCCAGAGTGGAGTCAATATTTTTATTCTCCAAATGTTTACTGGATTGATTAGAATATATGAAGATAATAAAGAATAGATGCATGAATGCACGATTGCTTGATTGCTGATATACAGTAAAGCCGCTCGTATTGTAATTCTTACTAAGTAGTTATTAGTTGAAGAAAAAGAAGAGATCAATGGAAGTCTTTAAATAGAGCTCAAGTCTTTTTATGGAAAGCATTTAATATTTAATTGTGTTTAATCAAAAAAATGGTGAATTTGAAATGAATTAAATAAAATTATACATACATAAGTAAAAACATATATGTGAAGTCCAGAATTATGTCGACAAACATCATCAGCAACAGCAACAGCTGCAGAGCTTGGGCAGAGATTATATTTATGGCTTAACTTTCTTTCTAATTTTTCTATCACAATGAAACTTAATATACGGACACATAATCACTAACTCAATGACTACCAAATTTTAATTTGAAATTCCAATAATTGGGGGAGTTAGAGAAAATCGTGAATAGAGGGGGAGTGGTCGGTGTATCGGAATAAATGAACAAACTTGCCCTTTCTTAGGCTTAGGAGAGTCTACATACCAAGTTTGGTTATTCTAGCTCTTATACTTTCTGAGATCCTTGCGTACATACAAACAGACGGATCATATCGACTCATCTTGTCACCCTGATCAAGGTTCTATAAACTTTGTGGGGTCTTCATATGTACACTCTTGCACAAAACTTTTAGTATATACTCGGGCTGACATGACTTAGCCTTCAATCCGTTTCATGCTGTTTAGCCTAACATAGTAGTGGACTATATTTTAAATTTAAAATAGTATAATAATGATGTACAATGTAGCAGAACTTTTAAAAAATAGGAAAATCGACTCCATACAGTAAATTGTACGGATTGAAATGATGTCGAACAAGTTATTTAGCTCGTTTACCGGAATGGCCTTCACGAAGTCGGTATAAGATTCTTGGCTGCCTTCGAAGTAGACAAAACGCTTCCTTTCATTGACTAATGCAAATATTGCGATTTTTTGTCAAAAAATCAGTCACAAATGAATCGATGATTCTTTAATCTTGAAATATTTATAGTAATTCCTTTTCAATTGATTTCGCGCTGTTTTTTTCCTAAGTTCACGCACTTTTTTGACAACATCTATATTTTGGTAAAAATCCAAGTCATCACGACCACTCGTGTACTCGGCCCCAAGATTTACAATTAATCAGTAGGAACTTCTTTAAAAAATTGAAACGTTTGAAAAAACTTAACCGAGCTTAGAATCAAACTTAATTTTTGCCCTTTATTCGATGCTCGTTTTTGTACCGATATTACAAATATACCCGTAATATAGTCACTTTATACGATATAATTCCGCTTTCAGTGAAGCAAATATCTTGATTTTAGTAATGGAAGTCGGCAAGGGATGCACATTTCCAACCAACCAGTCACATACAGATGATGCCACTGTTTACTTTGTTCTGTATCTTGGATACTGATAGTCCAAATGGTAATACTCCAAAACCAAAATAATTAATTCATTACAAATTTAAACAAATACATATATACATTTGTACATATAAGTATGTATACATTTGTATGAACATGCATTTCTAGTTCTGGAAAGCTGATTAGCAGTGCTTTCTTATCACTTGAAGCGGCAATGTTCCGTTAAAAGTTGATAGCTTCTCGGTTCTTAAAATTATGAAGCTGTGTTTAACATCTCTCGTGGATACAAAGCAGTCATCAGATATCACCGCATCCATATACCTTCCCCAAATCGGCAAAAACCAAAAGCACTCATTATATTTCTCAGAATAATTCTCTTTATTATTATTTTATCTTTTCTTGCATTTTTTTAGTTTTACTTAGGTTTAATTTTATCAGTTTTAGCAATTTCTCTTGTATCAGATATATATATATATATATATATATTTATTTATTTATAGTCTATATATACTTAAAATGTATTTCATCTTCATGCCCTTGCTGCTGCATGTACTATTATCTTTAAACTGTTATCTGCTTTTTGTTATTAAAATTATATTTATTTACTGTATATATCTTTTTTATTTGCTTACGTCACTAAGAAATTATGTTATATACTCTTTAATTTATAACTCTTGTTATCCCGCACTTTTTACTTGGTTGGTTTTTTATACAACATTTATTTCATTCATTATTTACGTGTTAGTGATAAAGCTAAAAAAACTCACGTTGGTGAGCTCTGAAAAATTTGTAATGTTTGTTGTTGTTTGTGTAAAATTAGTTTAACAAAAGCACTTGATTAATCGTTATAGCAACGGAATCAGCACGGGAGAGACTTCAATTGTAATCAATGACTGCTATATAGTTGCAACTTTCTTGAACACTTGCTGTGATATTCTATAGGTTTTTTTGTTTTTGGATTTTCTCGGTATTTGCAAAACTAAAAAGGGTTAAGTTCGGGGAGAAAGCGAAACATCGCGCCATGCCATTAGTCAGCCATCCTATGGAGCAGACTAGTTTTGGTGACCCCGACTAGCCCACCACCAACCTCATTTCCTAATCTACATAGCACCCAGGCGTACGTTGGGCGATTTGCAAAAAGTAAATAAATAATTTGAAAACTAAAATGCGAAATAAAAATAAGCGAAATAAAAAATAAACATGCGTTTGATTTTGAAAATTGTTTAATTGCCTTTTATTCAACATTTTTTCAACTATTTATATAAATTTTGCAATTGAGTTTTCTTCTGTTCGACGTTGTTTATGTTTGCTTGATTTGTTTCCTTCTTCGTTTCTGTTTTGTTTAAGTAATGTTTTTTATTGTATTTGTTGGTTGTTGTTGTTACACCTTGCTAAAGTTAGTTAAAATAGTTGTTGCTCTAATATGCCCTTTCCATATCGGTTGCCCATACATATCGTTTACATAGGTATGTATATCAATATATTTCTATTTAGATTTAAACTAGCATTACCATTTTGTCATTAAATATTTGTATTTTCACTTTTTGTTGCAGAAATCTTACTCCTTAAACTAGACATTAGTATAATATTTATATATATAGTAATATATAGATATTTATGCATTCATAATCAATATATCCATTCATACGATTTATAAGCTACGTAATTTCGTGTTCTTTCTCCCATCATCATATTTTTCAGTTTATTGCAAACATAAAGCAAGTTTTTTTTATTTACCCCAAAACTAAACGTCAAGACTAACTTATTTAGTAATTGGTACTTAGATAAGAAATTAGGGAGAAAAAGAGAGTTGGGCAGATATAGTGGTGGTACCAGCAGACAAATGAGAGAGTTGTCAGGAGGGTTGAGTTTGTCTTGTGATTCAAGGAAGGATGACTAAGAAGTGCACGCAACAAAAATTGTTCAACGAGAACTAAAACTTGATGTTGAATTAAAATATTATTTGCCATTTCACTCCGCTTTACATCGATAAACATATGTATAATTATAAACACAATTTCAACTAAAAGCACACTAAAGCATTTTTAATTATATTTAAAAATAATAGATAAACTATAATTACAGCTAAAAACACATTATTATATGCATATGCATGTAGTTAGCGGCTAAACGCAATTTGCAAAAACTTTTCCAAAATTTGTGTTCAATATCTCATATTACTCGGCTGATCTGTTAGGCATTTGCAGAAAAAAAAACTTCTATCCAAAACCACGTAGTTGCATTCTATTCCTTCCTTACTTCCTTACAAATCGAAGGCTGCACATTGCGTCGCCAATCGCAGGTAAATATTTTTAATTTATAAAAGCACATACATACACACACTATATATATACATATATATATATATATATACATATATGTATGTAGAGTCTAAAATACTGAACTGTTCTACAATTTGCGGGGCATGGTCCAACTTGTGATTTACAGCAAAGGTCGTGATGAGTTGTGCATTCATCTTATCCGATCGTTAATTTAAAGGAATTAAAGGTTATAAACGAAGAACAAGTTTTCTACTATCGGCTAAGATCACTGTTCGGAATAGGATATACGAGTATATATGCAGCTACGTGCCAAGGCCCTCTTCTGCGCTTGCTTATTTGTTTGAAATACGCGAAAAGTGTATGCATTTATTTATTCGTTTTCCCACTGATGAATGTATTATCATTTTTCGATTTATATCATTTTTAATACGTTTGTTTCTTTTTCTTCAATTTCATTATCATTTCATTTGTGTACGCATAAAATTTTACTAATTAATTGTAGTGTTAAATTATGGTATATGTATGCATATATACTATGTACGTTGTTTTCCACTTTTCATAGAATTGTTATTTAGAGTCAGAGTTAAATTTAAAGTCAACTAAAAGTAGCGTTAATATTATTAAAATAAATGACATTTTTGCTGTTCTTGTTTTTATGCATGTAACTGTAACTGTGTGTGTGTGTGTGTGGCTGTGTGCTGCTTGTGTTTTGGAAGCCTGCAGTTCATTTAAACATTTCTCCTATCTCTTTGCAAAAACATGGTCACGCTTTTTTACACTGCTGCTTATAAAGTTAATTTATACAATGTTTTTTATTATTTATAATATATACTTTATGTTAACATGCTCCTTCTCATTGCTTTTCTGTTGCTAGTTACAAAAATATCTGCGATTTTTGTACAATCTGAATTGCCTTCAAACATTTCTGTTTGTTATTGTTAATTGTTGTGCTCGACTCTCTGTCTACTTCCTGCAATGCTGCAACTTCAAAGTGACTGCGGTGGCATAGATGTGCGTGCCTGCCTGCCTGCCTGCCTGCCTGCGTGCGTGTGTGTGTGTGTGTGTGCAATTCTGTCCGATCAGTCCATTTCAATATTACTATTGTCCACATGCGGGTGGCACATTGCAAATGCTCAACGGCTTGAGCTTCTAGTGGACAGTTTATTAGATACTAGCAGTGAACATCTAGAAAAGGCCTCAAATGGGATTAACGCGAACTAAGATCAGAATACGAACGAGAATCGAGTTATAGGCAAAAGCTGATGTGGGTCCGTCTTTGTCGCGAGTTTGTAAAAGAGGTGGGTGGGTGGTGTCTGTCAGATGTTTGGTGTACGCTTTGTTAGATGTAGAATAGTGTTATGTTGTGTTTGTGTTGTTTATTTGCTGATCCTGCGAGTAAAGGTTGCTTAAAATTTTATGTAAATTGCGCCAAGTCCGCGTTCTGCATATTTTTTGCTTCAATTTTAGAATAAAAATGTATTGCATATATTTCCTTGTAATTTTTTTTAATGTTTAATGTTAACAACGAAATTTATTATACTATGCATAGATGTAGTTTGTTTTGATAAAGATCTAATTGCTAAAAAAAATGGAAAAGAAAGCAAAAATCGAAAGGTTTGTTGTTGTAATATAAACAAAGAAAAACTAAATAACGCTTACAGCAATAAAAACCTACAGACGAACATTATATCTCTCTTTTTTTTTTTTTGCCATTTTTCAGTGTTTTTTATGGTTCTCAGTTTTTCCTCTAGTTACCATATACATATGTATATATAGCATAAAATGATTGATGTGCATATACCCGGACAAACTATATTGAAGTGTGTAAATGTGAGCGCCACGTCGACGCATCATTACATCATCACTCACTTATATGCATATTTATAATATAATTAATTAAAATCAAAATCAATTCAATTTTGTGTAAAATGTTAACATGTTTGTTGTGGTTTTTTCTCGTTTTAGATTTTCACTTTATAGATTGAGGCAAAAATAAAACTAAGTATATTTAAAACGCACTTTTCGCACTGCTTACATTGTTTGCCTTTTGCCTGCCTTGTTGGTTTACTAGTTAATAATATTACATACAGATAGAATTTTGCCTTTTAATTTTGCTCCAGTTGCTTTAAAAATTAATCGCGCTGCTTCTCTTCTAGTTTTGTGAATTTAGTGTGTGTGTGTGTGGTCGTTAATTTTGTTTAGCAATGAAAAAAAGTAAGGAGCGCTAGACGTTCGATTTTTTTGTTTTGTTTTGTTTGTTGTTTTTTTTTTAGATTTTCTTTTGTTGACATTTTTTACATTTTTTTTGTGTTGCTTTTTTCTTTCGCGTTAATTTTGCAAAATTTGTTTCCTTTTAATACATAATTAATTCTATATATATATATAATATGTATATTATGTTGTAGCTGATAATTAAGAATTAAGAAATAGTTGGGGCTTCCTTTTGTTGTTGTTCTTTTACTTTGCTTTTTACACACTCAACGTACAAAAACAAATTTACACATTGTCTACTACAAAATTTAGCATTACAATTTTAGCGTTCGGTGCTTGGTTGCGGTGTTTGTTCTCATTTTTTGCATACAAAAAATTTCGTGTTGTTGTTTTGATCACCAAAGGGTTGGGATGAGTGTAGTAACTGCCAGGCAGCCGCCATTGGGCCAGTGGGCGTTGGCAAATTAAAAAGGACACGCGCGTCCAAATCACAGAAAGAAAGGCGGCAGGCTGCGTCTCCTATCTGACTGACTGGTTGCTGCTCCTTCTGGTCTGACTAACGCTGTTACGCGTCTGGTTAAAGTTGTTGGCGTTGCTGCTACTCCTTATCTTATTGTAAGAGGCAACACATTCTTGGCCTCTGCCTTTGGTCGCGCTTCTGCTGCTGCTGCTGTTGCTGTTTTTGTTGATACTGCTAGTGATACCGCAGCCGATTGATTGACTGATGCTGCTGCTGCTGCCACAGATGATGATGTTGTTGCTGCGCAGCTGCTGCCAAAATGATTGTTGCCGATGTTGTTGCAGTTGTCGCCGTCATCCCCACTTTCTCGTTGTAGTTGAAAAGTTGTTGGAGCTGCTGTTGCTTGTTGAGTGCGCAGTGTGGATGTTGGAGTTGTTCTATTTGATGAAGTTGTTGTTGCAGAAGTAGTTGTTGGTCTGTTGTTGAATTTACTGTACTGGTTGGTTGCTTGGTTGATTGGTTGGTTGGTTGTTGTGTAGCTGTACCTGTACCTGTAATTATTTGTGTTGCTGTCCTTGCTATTGCCTTTCGGGTTTTTTGGTTATGGCTTCTGTACTATTGTGTGTGAGTGTTTGTTGTTGCTTTTGTGGTTGTTGTTTTACATTATAATTACATGACAATTTATATTTATATTGATGGTATTATGTATTGTGTTCTCGTGTGAGTGTGTGTGTTTTTGTTGTTGTTGTTGTTGTTGTTGTTATAGCGTAGCGTATGTTTTGATGTATATACTATTATTATGTGTATGTGTATTATTATGTTACTGTTACTGGCACAATATCAAATTCAAATCTTTTGAATCTTCTCGCCAACTACAACAGGATTATTGCGTCGTATCTCCTGTGCACCATGCTCTCTATAGTCGAATGTGCAATTGTGTTTATCGGAATAGCGATGCACAGCGCAGTACAAACCGCCGCAACGACACTGAAAACCTGCAAGTGAAAAAGTCTCGATTAAACAATGTCCACACGTCGGGAGAAACACAGAAGGGTTGTTCTCGAAAACGCTTAAAGTCCCCTACCAGCAGTTTGATATTAATTAGACAGGTCATAGGTCATCCATATGCCAATATCAACTCACAGCCATTATTTCAAGGGATTTGAACTTTTCGAGACTTCCCCTTGGTGTGGTTTTTGAAGCGATTACTTACCGGTCAGCCCAACCTTCTTACGACATTCGCCACATCTGTTCTTCTTCTTTTTGGCATCTTTATCATCTTCCTTGTCTTTCTCTTCCTCATTGGTGGAGGCTGGGGCTTGTGAGGAAGTGTTAGGACCAGACGCCGATGTGATGACTTCGCTATTAGTTTTGGCAGCAGCGGCAGCTTCTTCGGTGATTTTCTGTGGCAATGAAAGGAGGCAAGCATTTTAGAAGCAAATCAAACAAATAGAAGAGGAAACATTTTTTGGTTTCAGAGTCTAGGGTGCGAGCAGATTTTGTTATGCGATTGTTTAACTTTTGAATCTGCCAAAAATTTAAATTGCCAATTCATTAGAACGATCAGATCAGGTCTCGCAGTTGGTCTACATCTGTCCTCCTACATGATCTATAGGACTCGACTTTAAACAATATTTAAGCTATCGGTTTTCCACACATAATAAAATTTGCTCACGAAAAAATCTCCCAGCTCTATTCTAATCCACCATTTGTTCCAACTGCATTCATAGGCGGTATTATTTTATAGATACATAAGTGTATATCTGTATTTCAGAGATTTATACAATTTTATTGCGAAGTAAAGTATATTTCGAAGGCGTTTGGGAAAATGTTGAAAATGCTGTACTATATAGAAAGCGTCCGTGAACTGTTCGTTTTGGCGATCGACTGGCGCAGTGATTATCACATTGTGGGGTTCGGTCTATTGTTCGGGCAAGCGCTTGCCCAAAAAATAGGCGCAGAGCCAAAATTCCTAACCAAGAGCGCTCGTGTGTGGGTGTGTGTGTGTGTGTGTGTGTGTGTGTTGGGAGTGGCTGATGAGTGGTGTTGTGTGTGGAGGTGTATTTGTGTGTTTACCCGCTTCTTGGCTGACATGTCTTGGTTTGCACTTTCAGAGGCTGCTGATGAGGACGCCGCTGTTACAGTGACGGCAATGGATGTTGCCTCTGCGGTGCTGTTACTGTTATTGTTGCTACCATCGCCACCATCTGCCTCAGAGCTCTGTTGGGCATCCATGCTACGGATGCTGCCACTGCGCTTCCCGTCCTGCTTCGATGGCTTTGGCTTCTTGCCGCCATTTTGATCGTTCGGCTCGTTTGACTTATCCATGGAGTTTATGACGTATGCACGCCGGCTGCGTCGTTTTCAAATTAAGCTCACGCACAGTTATCGGATTCGAAGATCCGGGAATGCGGTAGGGGCTCTTCTGGCGCTGCGGCACGTTTAGAGAATAGGCTAGACGAGGTTCCTTCCTTCGGTGCCACGTAGGGAAAGGGGTAAGGTTAGGGGTGGTCGTGTAGGCGGTGGTTCCTCCGCGTCGGACTAATTCGTCGGCGCTTCCGCCCGAAATGCGCGACTTTGACTTGCCTTTAGTTTTGGACTTGTCGGTCTTTTTCTTGGCCGAGGTGGTCGTGATATTCGTCAAGGACGCTTCGCGTTGTGCCGTCGATGTCTGCCTGCCAGTGACTGTTACCCTTCCACTATTCGGTCGAGCCTGTTTCTTTCGTTTGGTCTTTGTCAACGGCTCTGTAACGTCAACGATTCCGGAACGCTCATGTAAAACTCCGACCTGGGCACGGGGGTCGGACAATGTACTGCTAGAGCCGTTAGCTTTGCCTTCACCGCCCTCACTGCGCTTCGTACTCGACTTAGCGGTCTTGAGTTTCTTGACGCGCTTCTTTAACTTTAACTCGCCAAGGCGGGAACTCTTCTTGGTTATCGGCACCAAGGGATAGGTGCGCACGTTGGCCGAGAACTTGACCTTGCGCGGGCTGGGCCCGCAACCGTCGTTGCTGTTGACTTCACCGAAGCCGGCGGCTTTGCGCGAAAGCGAGCTTTTTCGTATGGCGGACTGCACGGGCGAGAGGTTGCTGCTGGCAACGACTGTGCCTGCTGCTTCTGCCCTGGCTGCTGCTGTCGACGACTTGCTGCTGGCGTGAGCTGTTTTTCCAGCGGTCCCAGTGGTAGCTTTTCGTGACCGAACGTCTGTTGGAGCAGCGCGTAGAAGCGTTGCAGGGAGGTGTAGGTAGGAAACAAAATTAGAGGAGTAGCGCATTTGCAAGCGTTGGGGTGTACACTACCAGTGGCCTTTGCCGAGAGAGTGCTGCCCATGCCGGAGGCCACCGAAGTGGAGGCCAGGGAACAGCTAGCCTTGGGCGTAGCGCCGGCAGCTGAGCGTACGATGCGCTTGCGCTTGAAGCGACGCACCGTCAGCGCAGCAGAATCGGCAGCATTGATGCCCCCGCTGCTGACAGAAGGAGTGGCGGTTGGGACAGCGTTTGATGCGCGTGCGCCACTGTGAGTAGTCGCAGCAGAAGAGGAAGTGCCCGCGACATGGCTGCGTGCCGGCGTTTTTGAGGAACCACTTAAAATTACCATAACTTAGAATTTGGAATTTTTACTATAGATAAATTTTGTGACTTGTAAGTCCGAGACAAAATCTGTGCAATTGTTAAAACATTAGGCGTTTCGGCTGATAGAAAACTCAAGGGCTGGACTGACCCGACCCCAAAGGGTATTCGAATTGACGCCTTAAATGACAGCTGTCCAAAAAATGAATAAATTTCGTTTCTTTTGGCGGGGCCAGAAGAAATCCACTGGGACAGGACAAAACAGCTCGTTGATAGACGTAACTGCAGCAATGTTTCTTAAAGTAAGTCGCTTGCTGGTTTTTTGTGTCTAGCGGAAAATGCGCAGCTTTCACAAAGCAAATAAAGCCAAAGGTCTCTTGAAGATGGAAAATAATCATTACCTTTGCGGATCCCAGCGTATTTATAGCTAGACGTTCACACGTGGCCAGCAGCACTCAGCACTCTCTTGCTCTACCCTGGCTCTTATCACCTTACACTATTATGATGCAATGAATTAATTGCGGAATTTACTTAGAACACTGAATTTATGTCCGAAAAACAAAGAAGATTGTTACTGACTAACACGTTCACATCTACATTAAAATGATTTGAGTGATACCAATTACGAAGCCTACTATGAGAACAAATTCAGATACATTTTCAAAGAGTTGTGTTATCGAATATGCTTTTGTTACAGCAAAGAACGATACAAGAAACAAGTCTATTTGAATAATAAATATTATCTTCTATACCAGATAGCTGGAAAAATTTAAATAAAGTGTACCTTTCTACGGCTGCCTTCAAATAACTTCATTTGGAGGAAAACTGATTGAAGAACGCGGATTTAATTTAACATTAAAAGTATTTTCTGCTCGAGAGATCATATATCATAATTCTGACTTTGCTTACAACCTTACAGATCCTGGGCCAAAATTAATCATAGAATTGGATCATTGCCATCCGATGCAGAGCGTCAACAATTTTAATTCATGCACAATATTAAGGAGCAACAATCATGAAAATAGCAATTCTCCGAGAACTGCGAACAAGTTTTGTCGGAATTGTGATTGTTGTAAAGACTTGAAAACGCGTAATATTGTTCTTAGACGGCGCAACATACTCGGAGACGAGTATGACGTGTCTTCAAAATTAACTAAAATACATCATATGTGCCGATATTCCAGATCCAGACCTGAATGTTGTAAATACAAACATGATTCACGGACCTCCCAATCACCGTGCATAGTTCACGAAAGTGAATAGAAACGATGGTCGTAATCGACAATAAATTCATAAATAGTTTCCAGATCATTCGCGGACCATTGAATCGTGGTGGAGTATTGCAATTCATCAAAGTCAATCAAATACATCTGCAAATATGGTTATACACATATTATTTGATGTATTTGATGGACTTCACAGACTCGACTCGACTCAGGTGTGGAGCAACAATGCAACGCGCGTCATTCATTCAGTTATTAAATTAACACGGCATTTATTGATCCTGTGGCTATGCGAAGTTCGCTGGGTTAGCTAGTATATGTATGTGTGTATGTATATGACAATGTATAGTAGTCCGGACCCGTCTACCACGATTGCTTGAATTCTACTTGAAGGAGACAGGCGGACATTGCTATAACGATTCACCTCATGCTGGTGATATACATTTTAATACTTTTATACTTTTACGATTACTTTATAGCTGTCCCAAGACCTATGTGTCGGATTAATTACACTCTTTTTTTTTTTTGATTTCAATGTCAAGTAATCTTTGAACAGGATCCGTAATATCACGCTATTTTTTACTTCGCCGTTAGACAACACCTTTTAAAGTAACTTTGAATTCCCTAGACTCCAGAGATACTTATGGTAAGCGTTCTTACTCACCTCTTTTACGTCGTTGTGTGGCTGTTGTAAGCTCTGCACTGTGGGCTGTGCGGTGTTAGTGATTGCAATGGCCGGACTGAATGTAGGGCTAGGTTGTGGGCTTGGAACTGAGACAGGTGTGCTGCTCACGGGTGGCTGTTGCTTTTTTCTAAGCGAGTCCTGAAAAACACAAGTGGAAATTTTAAACACTACCCACTGCCTGAATCAATTAAATTGCACTTACCTTATAGCAAACCGAGCAGAGACCATCTGTGGCAGGATTACCATAGAACCCGCATCCAGAGCGGCACATGGGTTGCATTGGATTGGACTCACGTTCCATGCTGCTAGGCTAGATTATATGTGTGTGTGCGTGTGTGTGGATGTGTTCTTTTTATGTCTATTAGACAGGCTCTCTAACGACGATATCTCACTGGTTGTTTGGCTCTTTTACTTGCCGTTGCTTTTGTTTTTTTGATTGACTTTCGCCCAGCGAAGTTGTTGCGTCTGCTTGCAGATGCTGCACCAACTGTTTCTCCTTTCTAGCTCAGTCGCAAAAAATTCCTGCTACTGCGTTCTCTTTGATTTCTTGGATTATTGGTCTTGCATGTAATCAGTTCGTTCGTTGATCTTTTAAACCAATATCCGTCCAAATATAAGGCTTTTATGACTGATGAGCTTTGAGTTGATTTTTGCGACTGCAAAGAAAATCAAAGTAAATCAAGTTAGTGAAGTACACTAAATAATACCAAACCCACTTCTCCCTGATTAGCAGTGTTGAATAATGTCAAACGAACTATTGGCATGTCATTACGCACTTTATATTAGATTCCTATGATTGCCCAGGGCCCTCGCAGTACTTTAGACCTAAAAATCGTGGCTGAACAGGGAGTAGTATTAAGCCATGCCATTTATTGATTCCGCACTGTCAGAATACTAATTTTTCCTTAGCCATTTCATGGTCCAACATTGAACACTTTAAAATTTAATAATCCTAGTCCATAATTTAGGTAATTTAGTGGCACGGGTTAAATCATTTGATATACGGAATACATTCTAACATGAAGGTAGAATCGAATCAACCCGCTGTAAAATGCAGCGCGAACGGTGCGTCCATTATGAGCCACAGCAGTAAAATATATTCCAAGATTCCACCCTTGTGGCCGGGGCCGAAGCGTGCATTATTGCACTCAATAATTTATGATAAGTAACCAAGTGCCACTAAATCTAGTTGTGGTCATGTGTTAAATATATAACATCCCTGCAATGGAAAGCAAGTAGATACAAAAGCCCGTTTAATAGGATAGATTTAGACTTAAAGCCCATATACATGTACAATAAATAGGCAAACAAAGCGGCAAACAAAAAATGTTAAAACGCATTATGTACATACTTAAATGCATACATACATACGCTCTTATATATGTACATACATACATATGTATGTGCATACATAGAATACAATACAAACGTTTGTGTTGGGGGTTTATTATTGTAAGTCAAGCGGGAACTTACGGGCAGGGGCCGTCAAAAGCTAACTGCAAGAAAAGTTGAATTGCATTACAACACAAAACACACCTAAAAAAATAGAGTGGCATAGACACACTGTTGCAACAACAACCAAAGAAAACAAAACAACGGCTGGTTTTGTGGCTCTCTTCAAGGCTGTCAACTTAACAGACGAGAAATACATAACAGAGAAAGAAGTCAGCCAGTCAGCTTAAACCAGTTTTGAGGTGGACGAGAGCGGGCTATGGGGCAGAGGCTCAGAAAGTATGTAAACAAGTTTCGTTATACGTTTTGAAGATTAAGAAGGAAGAAAAAACCGTTAACGGTTTCAAAGGAAAACAACTAATTAGCATGGCCATATCGATAGCACACATATCTATTAACCGCGATCACTTTACAAAAAATAAATTTGTAATGTGATCCGTGGCACGTCAGCACAATAAGAGAGAAACTCGGTAAGTGTAAAAGGCAAATGAAATGGCATAGCATTTGAGTTGGTGGATAAAAGGTACTACAAATCATGACCAGAAGAGAGCTATAACGAGAATTAAATTGTTTGCCACTAACAAGGAATAATGGATGTGACAATATAATAATAAAAGATATGTATGTACATACGTATCACTTTTCCTAAAGAAAACATATTTTTTTATTGAAAAAACCATGAAATAAATTCGATGAGTCAGTGTTTAAAATGCAAAATTAATAAAAACAGACAAATTTATCATTTACACGGACGATACACTGTCATAAGCAAATGAAACGGAAGAGAAGCGAGAGAGAGAGAGAAAAGCGTAGTTAAGCAATTTTAAAATTGAGCACAATTCCATTTACTGTTATTTTCAATGCGATGCGCCGACATCGCCGCTGTTAGCAGTTACAGGCGAAATGGGCACACGCTGCTCTGTACATTTATGTATGTATGTATGTATGTATACATGCATATACGTAAGTACGTATTTGTCACACAAAATTTGACCTTACAGTGGTGAGTAAGCTCGTAGTTTTTGGTGAAAAACAAAAACAAAAATTCACTCGTACTGTAAATTATAAAGATATGTTTAAACATTCATTTGTATGTAAGTGTAATATTACAGATGTATGTATGTGCATTTAATTGCTCAAAATATATATATTGGTACAAGTTCTACATATATACATACATACATATGGTATTTAATACATATATGCATACTAGGTGTTTCCAGTGTACAAAGTAAAAGAGACAAACATTGTACATGCATATACATACATGTATGTATGTATGTATGCATATATACATACTTAAGTATGCCTGCCTCGTATTGACGCATATTGTAAAAGCATTTGCACACGCACTCTCTCACACTCACACACAAAACTCATTGCTTCATTGTACATTACATCGTTTTATGGGGAGTTTTTAACTCTGCCTCCGCCAGCAGCGTTGTCGACGTCAACGGCACGGCTATGACTGCGACGGCAGCAGCAATATCTAAAGTGAGGTGAGTTTTTTTATGGCACAAGACGAGGCACAGCAACTTTTCACTCTTTGTAGCTGTTTAAGCTTTACTGTGTTGGTGTCGTCGTTGTTGGAATGCATGCATTTGTACGCCAATGTATGTGTTTGCCCTGCTTTGTTTGCCTCTGTCTGCTTTACACGTATGGCTTTATATACATACACATGAACATGTGTTCTGTGAGTGAGTCTGTCTGTGCTTTGGGGCGCAGCAATAAATAATTTTTGCATTTTTTTCATTACTTCTACCTAAATTACACGGGTTTTGTATGGAAACGGCGTTTAATTTTTTTGATTTATTATTTTACTTTAGTGAGCACCATGGTCTTGTATTTTTCTCTTTAGTATGGCTGGCTAGTGGGGCCTGTGTGTTGAAGCAGATATCGATTTTGAAGCGCAAACTGCAGCTATTGAGAAAACAAATCAACACAAAATGCAAATAAATTGCTGCTTTGCGGTATCTCGTTGTTTATAATTGCAGACATACACATGTACATGAACGGATGTAAATATGTTATTAAATTTACATATGTACATACATACATATGTATGAAGGTAATTTCCTGCTGTTACGTTATAATTGCAAACAGTCCAAAACAGCTGTCTGTCAACGACCATTAAACACGCGGGCTTTAAGTTGCTCACTCGCTCTTCACAAACATCGTTACACCCACTCACACCTACTCGGAACCTCAAAATAATAAGAACACTTGTAAAAATTGTTTTTTATTACAATTTCTTAATCTTTTTCAGAAATGCATTATAACAAGAACCAAAATTATTTTTTGCAATATGGCAATACCTTTACCTAAATGCTTTAACGCGATAAAATAATTTGACAAAATAAAAAACATGTATACAAAATTACAAACGGTGTAATGCCCGTTTATCCATTTCGGCATACGAACATAGAATCTTGTTCCAATTTTTTGAATGCAAAGTTTTTAAAAAGATCATTTTGCATAAAATTATTATTAAAATTATTATTATTATAATTTAAGGAATAGAACGGGAATTTTTAGCTGGATTCGATATATTTGAAAATAAAGACAAGTATGAAGAATGTACCTATTCTTTTGACCATCTTCGTAACTGAAAAGGCGACTCATCAGAGTGCTAGCCAAATGTCAAATACAAATAAAACAATTCCCCACACAACAAATGGTAGCCAATGGAGAGCGAGAGCATTGGGAGAGATAAAGACAAACACGTACACTGAAGAGCGTAACTGCATACGTCAACAGACACGCGCGCTGCGGCTGCTGCGCTACGACGCACAGTGGGGCCTTAGGCCGAAACAGCTTGCGAAAATCAAAATTTTCATGAACGCTTTGGGAGTAATGAATAAACGTGTCTAATAGTTTTTTTTCCAAAGATTACGAAAATCTTACTCTCAAAAAAATCGGAATTATAGTTTAGGACATATGTGCACTCAAAGTCGACCCTTTTTTAAGCTCGCAACAATTAATTCAATTTGATGCAAATACTTCATCTTTCAGGTATAATATTAGCTAAGTTATGAAACGAATCATTGATGTTTTGATTTGTATTGCTAGATGAATTAATTTTATGCATTATTTAATAAAAACTATGTCTTTCGTATTTGTAGTTATCTAGAAAACGTTATTTTTTAAACTACCTATTTTTAGGGTGTTTTTCAACTTTGATGGAAAATAAAAAAAAAGTACCCAAAAGTACCTCGCCCATATTTTCAAAATATGTTCCTTAAATATTCTTTTACCTAACGCAATAAAACTTTCATCCGCCCGGATCCGCCGGTGTGCACCAGAGCAAAAAGAGTGCCTCAACTTCGGGAAAAAATCAGCGAAAAAGGCGCTGCCGCGGGTATAAGAAGAAGAATGCATTGCAGGTAGATTCGCTGTAACGGCTATTAGGAACATTGTATTTAGCATTATGGATACAAAAATATACCTAAGCGGTCCTATTTGATCCACATTTAATATTGTGCAACCAAAATTATGCATAATATTTATTACAGGTAGTGTAATTTACAATATTAGGTGAAGGTCTTGCAATCTTTTTGACCCTTTCATGAATTGTAATTTCTTTGCTTTAAAGCATTTGAACAGGCAAAAAGAGGTTTTAGTTTAATATCTTAGGTATGCGTTTAGAAATGGTATATATTGCCAATATTTTTGGTGCAGCGTAATAGTCGAATTTTGACTTAAAAAGCAATGAGTTGTGTCTAACTAGCAGTGAATAGTATTTTTCAATATAATTTACGTTTAAATACCTTAAAAGTGATTTTTCTTTAACATGGCTGTGCAAAATGCAACATTATTTGATCTATTTAGGAATTCCAATGATGATAAGGAATTTGAAGAAGCTGTTCTGAAAGAGCTGTATGATGCTCTGGAAAGTGTAGATCAGCAAAAAATGTTGAGAAACAAGCTTAAATTAATTTATTATAAAATCAAACAAAAATGGATAAGCGTAGGATATAGCAAGCAGAAATTTGATTTAAAATATGAAATCTGGCTATCAACGACTACGTACTTGGATACATCAATGGACGATGTACCCTCTACATCAACTGGACGAGCCAGAGGAAGACCAACGAAAAATATTGCGACATTTCCTAATTCGGCATAATGTTGATGTTCTTCCTGGGTACAAACAAATAGGATCGGCTAAGAAAGAGGCAGTACCTCAGCCCACAATAGTGACGGA